GGGGGGGCCCGCTGGCTCCCATTCACGCATGTTGCGGGAGCGTGTCCTGAGGCTGAGCAGGGTCCGGCCCGGCCGTGGTGGGGATGGGTGACGGCGTGCGCGGTGTCTGCCGGGCAGCGAGAAAGGGGTCGCGAGTGCCAGTTTTTTGGCAGAAATGAGCGCAATTCGCAGCTCTTCTTGCCCTTTTGTTAGGGTGTGGCTCCCCACATTTCCCCTGCCCTCCAGCACAAGCCCCGGCCCCTCTGGCACCCCGGTGGCACCCAGGGTGGTGGCACGGTGGGGTGTATTAGGCCGCTCCCCGCAGCCTGTGGCCTCCCGAGGCCATCCCTGTGCCCAGGAGGAAGCCCAGGCTCCTGTACCCCCGCCTCATCGTTATCCTAAACACAGCCCAGGGTTTTGCAAAGCTCAGCCTCTTGTAGTTCGAGGAGTGTGGCTTCCAGAGGTACGAAATGGTGAAATAGCACCAATTAGGCTGTGAGTGAGCGCACGCGGTGAGGCAGGTCCTTATCTAGGTAGGAAAGATCTAAAATCCCTAATGTAGTACCCGTGTTACTCACTGCCTTAATTAACGAGGAGCAGAGCTGCCTCACCATGCCTGTGGCTCGCAGGAGAGGCTTCATCCTCGTTCCTGTTGGCTTTGCATGCAGCAGGGCACGTCAACGAGTGGCTTATACCACATCACGTGTTTCCAGAGGTTTCTAGAGGTTTCCAGAGGTTTTGTGCCTTGTGCTTTGCATGCCTGAGCCTCACCAGGCTCCAATTCCTGCTCCCCCAGTGCCCCAGCAGCCGCTTTCCCAGCCCTGCGGCACAGAGACCGTTGGCTTGAAGAGCTCTTTTGCCCCCGTTGGGAGCTTTCTGTAGGCAATCCCGCCTGTTCGGTGACCAAAGTGAATAAAAGGTCAAGCAAGAAATATCACAGAGGCATTTGTTATGGCAGCACAGATGCCCATTTATATTTTATTTGCCTCCTGGGTGTGGCACTGCGTCCCAGCTTAATAGGTTTAGCCGTGCTTGGGGAGATTTTTCTTTTCTTTCCCTCTGACATGATTAGGTTTGTGGAAACCAGAGTCAAGCAGAGAGGAGATGTGGTGCTTAATCACCGTTATTTCCCAGCCCAGTGGTTCAGCCTGCTCTTTGCCAGGAAAAGGCAGATTCTTGAGACCTCTTCATATCCTAGCATCGGGAATCGCACCTTCTGCAACCCCGAGGAGTTAAAATGCAGTTACCTGCCCCAACAAGGGCATGCATTGAAATGCAACAAGCTAACCAGGTGGCCTGGGAAATGTCCTGTAACAAATATACTTAGGGAGTTTGGATCACTTGGGAAATAACCTTAAAAGCGTGGCTGAAGGGCACAGAGATATAACGAGCGCAAGCCAGGGAGGATCTGGAGCTCTCTGGCAAATCTCTTGTTCCCCCAAAAACCTAATAGGGTTTCCACCTAGGAGAGAAAAGCCCAAGTGGTAGGAAAGGCGGTAGTTTTCTTTCTTGACGCACATCAGTTCTGTTGCTTTCGTGCTGTCATGTTACATTGGGGGTGTGCGAGAGTTTCTGGTCACACCAGCTGAATGCTGTCCCCAAAAATGGGGCAGGGGAAGTGCTTTGAGCCGCTCGAGTTTGCAGAGTCCTGCAAAATGCTCAGAGTCCTGCCTCTGCCCAGTTCGTGTTAAGAGGCACGGGATCTTGGCTCTGAGATTTAAAACATAAAAATATTACTTAGAGAGCGCAATACTTCCTTTCCTTTTAAGGACAGGAAAGAGAAATTGAGTTTCCTCTGCCTCGGTCCTGTGTCAGCACTGGGAAGTGGCTGCACCGCTCTCTGCTGCGGCTGTCCAAGTTGATTTCCCAAAGAAAAAAAATCCCATTTTCGTATTTGTCACACTTTCCTTTGTGCAGAGAGGACTTCTGTCCTGTCTCCCATGTCTGCGGAGGGTTTATTCCCATTGTAGATAAAAGACACTGGAAAGGCAGAGACGCTGGCACAGGCTCTGCTCCCCAGAGCTGCTGTGAGCTTGGTGGGATTTGTGGTTCACAAGCAGCAAGTGGCAGTGGCGAGACCAAGGATTCGAGTGTCCCAGTTCCATGAAACATCTGTCATTGGCAAAACCACCCGGGGAAGTGGTTTTGGATGGGAGAAGTTCAGGGACAGTCCTGTGTGTCAAACTGGGATGTTGCTGGATGGGGTGTGGGGAAAACAAAGCGGCTTTCCTTGGTGGGACAGTGGGCAGCTGCCTGGTGTGGCAATCCGTGCCTGCACTTGCACCATGAGAGGACGTTCCTGGGACAACCGCTCTAACATGCAGAATTTAATTTTAGGTATTATATGGAGCATGATAACGGCACACTCTGCTTTGGGACCCGTGCTCTGTCGTCTCCAGAGCCTCCCTCCTCTCTTCAGCCCCTAATGAGATTACAGCCTAAGTACGGTGCCTGATTAGCCCCAGGTTTGGCAGAGGGATTTTCCAGCACCTAAATATGGAGCAGGGATCTACTATTTCTCATCTGACACCTTTCAGACTAGGAAGCAAGGCCTTGCAGTGGAGGAATTACAAACCTCGTCTGAATCAGCATTTCCAGTTTGGGTCTTGAGGAAGAACCATCAGTGTTTGGTACCATTTGCTATCATAGGTGTGAGGCGATCTGAGAGCCCAAGCACAACATTTCAATTTGTGCAATGAAAGATGCTTTTTCATTGCCACAGAGCATATGCTACGGGAAACAACTCTCAGCCCCTGCCACTGAAATCCCCTGTGTCAACCCAGAGCTTCCCCTGGGCTTTGGGAGCCGTGGGGAGCTGGCCACAACCGGAGTTGTCCTCCCTGTGCTTTCTTCCTCCACCTTGAAAAAAAATAAAGCTCCTGGATCTGGGAATACAGCAGGAGCGCACACAGATCCAGGGGATAGATAAATGGGTGCTGAGCACCAGTTTGTTACTGGATGCGTCTGGTGTTTGCCAGCCTCCAGAGGGGCTGAGCTGGTGGAGGACAGTCAGTCTGAGTGGGTCTCACCTTCAACAAACCCATCTGGTTTATTTAGGTACTTCCGAAAGTCTATTTCTGAGATTGCTCAGGTTATGGGTATTATTTTCTGTGTAGTGGTTAGCACCGGCTCCTTTCCCTTGAACTCGAGGAGCGTCCGGTAGCAGGGAAGGGGAGTTGCAGTGAAAGGTAATGGCCATGACAGCAGCGATGCCTTTCCCAGGAGAAGGGAAAAGTGTTTTCCTTCATCAGAGAACAAACCATCACCATCCCGTGGGTAATCGAAAAACTTTTCACATAGCGCAGCCAATGTGCCCTTCTCCACTCACTTTATCTCTTAAAGCAGCTCGGGCTGGAAAGGACATATGAGAGGAAAAAAAGCCATAAGCACAGCGGTGGGCTGTTGGACAGGAGCTGGCCTGGCAGTTAAACCTTCCTGAGGGGTGAAACCAGCTTCAGCCCTCGCAGATTCATGGGTTGCATCAGCTGCGGTAGCTGGGATTTTGGACAGTGGTGGCTCTGTCCCAGGTCACTGGTGGGGCAATTGGGGGAGCATCCGAGGGGCTGCAGCTACTTGGAGCATAAAGAAGAAGATATTTGCTTTCCTAAATGGACTTTAAAATAGAAAAATACCTATAATTGTTGCTTCCCTAGGTGTAATGAGATGGACCTTTGGGTTTTCCAGCATTTTCCTATGTTTTCTTTGCTGGTGACTCGTCTGCCGGGTTGATTTTCATCTTGCTGCTGGAGCAGGGCCCCTCCCCACACCACGGTGCCTGGGAATGCAAAACCTCATCCCACCTTACGCCACCCTGATTTCTTCCAGGTCACGACGGCTTTGCTCATAAATCAGGGAGGATTTTTCTCAGCGCTTTTACCTGCGAGTCTGGCATGGGGGTGAAGCGATATTGGTTGGGCTGAACTCATTAGCAGCAAGCTGGGAGTTGGCAGCTCTGATTTATGAAGCAAAGCGACACCAACTGAATACGCAGGGGCTGGGAGGATTTTGTTTGTCGCATCTGACACCTGCAGCAGCCCAACGTGGAGGTGACCTGGGAAAATGTGTCCATCTCTGTTGGAAAGGGTGGCTTCCAGCGTCTGCCCTCGGACGTGCTCTCAAACCCTCCTTGTGCCATCAGTTTGTGGTGTTAAAATTGGTAAGAAAGCAGTTGAATGTGTTTATTGTGGCTCCACAGTGGATAGTTTAGCTCATCCCAGGGCCTGGATACAGCCGTCCTGGCTGTTTGGGGATCTGCCAGGTCTCGCCCATGCTCCTCCACAAGGTGTTAAAAAAAAGCCCCATCACGCATTTGTCACCAAAATCAATAGCGGTGTCAGCACCGCTTTGCTGTAATTACTTTTGCTGTCATGTCAGAGCTTGTGTCTCCCTGGGTGGACGTAAAGCCATTTCCCGGTGGTGGGAAGTGAGATGTGTGTCCCCCCCAGGGATGCAGCGCTGGGGGATGCTGCCCCCCACTGAGCTGCGGCTTTGTGGCTGCTCCTCTCTGCTCCGCTGCAAGCACTCAGTGTGCTTCTGGAGGAGAGGGGGGGGCTTCTCATCGAGCCCCCTTTTCTGGAGCAGCTCCTCGTTCCCCATGCCAGTGAGCAAATGCTTGCTGTCTCTCGGTGTTTCACATGGGGCTCTGCTGATAGATGGGAAACTTTTTCCCAGGAAAAGCCATCTGCAGAGTCTCCACTGCTGCTCAGATTTTGTCCAGGGGCAAAGCCTTCCTCAGCTCAGCTGCTCCAGTCTCTGCTCTGCAGGGCAACGGCTGCCCATCACATTGGGTTACTGCGCTGTGAGCATCAGTGCCTCACCGTCTGCAGGCATCTCCACAACCAGTCATCCCAGTTTCATCCCTCAAAAAACCATTTCTCTATCCACTTTTCCCTGTTTTCAAAACTCACTTACCCAGGGATTTTTTTTTTAAACCTTATTCCCCTTCCAGCTCTCTCCTTTTCCTGGCCTTGCTGAAATAAATAGTTGGATGCTGCTCCACCATATTTTCCAGCATGTTTCTTTCCTTTCCCTCCTCCACCTTTCACCTGCCATGAAAGCAGCAGTCGTTTTGGGGGTGCAAGGAAGGAGACGCCTCTATATCATAGAATAAAAAATATACTGGC